AAAGGAAAGGAAAAGTTAGAGGGAAAGGAAGGATGGGCTCAGGAGGAGGAGGAGGAAGAGGGTGGGAAGTGGGAAAGACAATGGAAGAGGAGGAAGGAAAGGAAAACGAGAATTAGGGAAATAAAAGGAAGTGGGAAGGGAAGCTCAGATGGAGTAGAGGAGGAGGAGGAGGAGGAAGGGAAGGAGAGGAGTAGTTGTAGTATGAGGAGGAGAGTGAGGGAGGGAACCAGGAGAAACAGAATAAATAAAGGAAGAGAAATGAAAGAAAAAAGAGAAGAGGCAAAGAAGGAGGTAAAAGGAAAAGAGGGTTAGGCGGAGGAGGAGGAGAGGAGTAGGAGGAGGAGGGAGGGAAGAGGGAGAGTCGGCACACTCGCCACCGACGACCCACGCTCAGTTGCGCGCTGCCTTCTGGAGTGAGAGTACACGCTCTGTGCTCCCGTCTCATTCGAAACCTCGTCCACTTTGTTGTGTTTCTGGAATATATCTTCCTCTGACACTGAAGCCTCTGAACAGGAAGGTGCCGTTGTCAAAGTGCTAACTGAGCCGGCCATGGGATATGCGGACTCGGTTAAAGCTGCCTTGGGAAATACTCCTAAATGAATTTGGTTTGTTCTGTGATGACCAACTGTGGCTGAACTACACATTCCTCTAAATTGGATGATTTGCAGCTGCAAGAGGAGAACACTTTTGCAAACGCGTGAGGATATGAACTAAACTCTTTAAAAGTGAGTGAGGTTGGTATAACTAAAAGTTAGTATATAATATAATAAGAATAAGAAAACACATCTGACATCAAGCACAGTTTCTAGATCTCTTCAACACAGAGTGAGAAAAAACAACTTAATATCCAAGACAAAAGGGGAATATAGGAGAGAGAGAGAGAAACAAAACGTTGTGTACTGAAGATAGTGTTGTTGTGTTGGGAGTCGTGATGGTGAGAAAAGCACAGTCGAAGCTCTCCTCTGCTCTCTCACCCTAGTTTCAGCTCTCTAGCACTCCTTGCTACCTTCAAAGTGTCTCACATCACCCTGGAAATAAAGTAAGAAATTTTCGTTTCGGAAATTCATATATACATACATCCCGGAACGAAAAACTGAGCTGATCATGAACATGGAGGCCTTCCTATTGACGGATATTTAACGAAGAGAGAGCCTTCGAAGTCCTCTCTGTGTCTGAGAGGAACAGCAGTAATTCGAGACACCGGAAAACATTGCCAGACTTCTTGGAGACTTCGTAGAAGCTTGACAAAGGTGCGCTCAATTTATCGTTTAA